CTCCAGTCCCCGCATGATCCTCGTAGCCGCCCTCTGGCCTCTCTCCAGTAGCTCCTCATCTTTGTTGAAGTGGGGAGCCCGGCACTGGACACAGTACTGCAGATGGGGCCTCACCAGGGCAGTGTAGAGGGGGAGGAGAACCTCCCTCGACCTGATGGCCACACTCCTCTTAATACACTCCATAAAATGCACGTGGAAAATTAAAATGTGCCCCAAACTCTGTGATTGCCTCAATCAGAGAAGTGTAAGGAGATGTGGAGAGGAGCTTGGCGAAGTCTAGAGTCCCCTTGGTCTGTGCAGGTCCAGCAGCACTGAGGACAGGAAATCAGTAACTGGGACCAGTCTTGATTCCTCCCTCATCAGTGGCAGGTATCTGGTGAATGTTTCCTAATCTTTGAGCACAAAAGGGTGATAAATTCTTCGCCCGTTTATTTCAAACCAGCCCTTCGCAAGGCTTAGCGAACAGCCAGCCACTGCATTGCTGCCAAAGCTCAGCCAAAGGAGCCCTATGTCAAGCAAGGGAATGATTTTCTTTCCACCCCGATTCATCGAAGCAACGTGAGTTTCTGCCTTGTGTGATTCTCCTGTTGTGTTTTTCCATATTTCTTAGAGGGAGAGACACAAGGCAGGCCACAAGATCCCTGCAAAACACCGGCGGCGCAACCTCTGATGCTTGCAATAAGCCTGGCTATTTAGGACAGTGTTATTAAAAAAATTTCCTTTGAAGTGTGTAAAAATGAGCACTTCAAGTCACTCTGCTGCAGAGACACGAGGCACGCCAATTTAAAAAAAAATAAATAAAAAATATGTATGTCTTCATTAAGTCTGGCGCATGTTCCCTCCCAGGCATTCTGTCTTCCCGAGATGGCTGTTTTGTTTTCGCTTCCTTCGTTAAATCCTGCCTTTTTATTTTCCTGAAAGTAGGGCGCACATTCTTCGCGGGGAGGCTGGCTTGTGCTTTCACCGCGTTTATTAATAATGCAGGGGAGAGTAATGCTTTGCATCCATTCCTGCAGCGCCCTGGCAGAGCGGAACAGCTATTTCTAAAATCAGCCTCGGAAATTAGGGGTCTCCACGGGGATGGTGTGGGGCAGGATGGAGGCTCCAATCAAAAAAATCCTGCTGCTGGGTCCTCCCCAGAGGAAACGTTGCTCTGCAGAGGGAAGGTGTAGGCATCCTCTTGCCCTACGTAAGTGCTCTGAACCATCCTCTGTAGGCACCCACCAACTGTTTGGGGACATCAGCAGGGCCCCTGAGGTGGGTGTCTTGGGGTCTGGCAGGGTGGAGATCCTGTAGAACAAGTGCTCCTGTGTTTTGAGGTGCTCAAGCTCACGGTGGTGGGACTGCCTGGGAAATTCAGCTTATTGCAAGCTTCATATGAGGCTCGAGGCCGTATCCATCACGAACAAGGTTGGCAGAGGGAAAGTAGAAATATCTACACCGTGTCACAGAATGGTAGGGGTTGGAAGGGACCTCTGTGGGTCATCTAGTCCGTATCTACTGCATCATCTGCTTCATCCTTTCGTTGCGATTCTGTAATCCAGTTAATTCACAGAATTTTCTTCAGGCACATCTGGTTCACATTTTTCTCTTTTCCGCTTAAAATATGTTCTGGACATTACCACGTTGGCTAGAAGTCCTCGCAGGGGGACGGACCAGTCCCAGCACTGCAGAGACCCGCGCTCAGGGCACGTTGCTTTCCCAGTTCCCACCACCAGATTTGCCAGGGGTCCAACAGATGACAAATAAAAGCTCTTTATTTTTCAATGCACAGCATAGGTGACAGGCGAAACCAAATCCGGAAGACACTGGTAGGACATAGACCTTAAATGATAATAGATAGACGTGGCTGGATTGTAACCTCTGTGAACTGTAGCTCTTGCAAAGGACCAGGAGATATTAATGTTCCTAGAAGCCTCCTTGGTTCACCTTTGGTGTAGTTTTAAGTGATGGATGCTCTGAGGATCCATGATTTAATGCACAGAACACACACAGCTATGGCAAGCTCCCAGCCATCTTAGACCCAAATTACCATCATTTTTTGGTAGGTCTAATGTAGAGAGGAGAAAATGCAGAGGAAGGATTCACATAACATGTAAATAAATTGTCTCATCAGTCTTGGAGTTAAAACCTTTGTGAAATCCAGAGGCAAAAATTAATCTGATTTTGAATAAAAGTGTAAGTGAAGGAGTGTTTCTGTCTCAGTGCTGGGAGATAGCTCTCCAGTGTGATGTTCAGGAGTGCAGCGTACCGTGGAAAATAAAGCAAGGCAGTTTGGAAATCCTTCATAACTCACAAACCTTTGGGAGGGGGAACAGGCTCAGAGCAGAACGTGATCAGTGCTGCGGTGGAGGAGAAATCACAGTCTGAATTTCTCACTTCCCACAGACCTTCTCGTTTTCTCTTGAAGAAGGTCAGGAAGAAGGAGCAGGTTGCCACGTTTCCAGCAGCGAGATCTTACACCCATAAACATCTCCACACAGCTGATGATTGCCACGTCATCGGGTAAAGCGTCGCTGCTGGGTGTCCTCCATGCTCCTGTATTTCTGTCCCACACTAGGAGAGCGGGCTCATGAGTTTTTGGTGGACTGAAAGACCTGCAGCAGTGCTTCTCTGCTCTCTCTGGGCAGTGGTGGTCAACCGTTGGGACCTGTGGTGTGGCTACTGTGGGTTGTGGCACCAGCGCTGATGCCTCTGTAGCCTCCTCAATCACTCATCCCCAGCTTCCAGCCCAGATTTAGAGTTGCGTCTTCAGAGTTGGTTCACTATGAGTCTGAGCAGACAGAGAGGCGTCAGAGGAGTTCAAAACATCATTGCTCTTGCCTTTGGGCTGCAGAAAGGTTTACAAGTCCTGACCAAGTCATGAAGTCCCTTCTGTGGGACTTAGTGCCAAGCCCCCAGGGGGCAGGAGCTTGCTTGGGAGAAGGAGTTATGAAGTGGAGCCTTAAAATATCCTCATGGGTGACTCCCTTGGGGCCAATGGGGACGATAAGGAACCCACCACCTGCTCCTGTGGGCTGTGGTGTCCCTCCCAAAGAGCTCCTCTTTCTGCCCCAGATGGCTTTGTCCAAGCTTGGCTGGTTCTGCTCTCAGAAGCAGTTCTCAGCCTATGAAATCAGCCTCCGTTGTTCCTCTCTTGCCCAAAGGTTGTTTTTTCTTTTTTTCCTCCAGAAGTCTGTTGAGTTGGCAGATCTGACCCAGAATCCATTCACTGAGCGTCTGGGAAAATCCTACCTGTCCCTAATGCCACCCATGCGGGGAGAAGGGGACGACAGTAACACACCCGGACCTCCAACCTTCTAGAGATCTTGGGGAATTTAGCAGCTTAGTGTAGGGAGAGTGCGTCAACAGTCTAGCTTCTGCTTTCACATAAAAATACCTTTAAAGAAGCCATGAAGCAGTGATTTTCTTTGATTCCAGCAGCTGCATCATTTTACCTCCTTTATCTTCCAAGAACTTCACAGCGAGGTCTAGTCACTAAGTGCCTTGCTGAGGATCAATCAACCCTTGCTTGGTTTTCTTTCCTTGGTAGCTGGGTGTGCAAAATATGTACTGCAGTACATCGAAAACCTGGAGCTTGTTTCTTTTAGAAGAACATCTAGAGCAGCTTATGGTGAGCAGCGAACTGTAATAGATGGCTGAGGCTTTCAAAAGATGCGTGCACTCCTCTGGGAGGTCGTGAGACTTAAGTCAAAGATGGTGGGGGCCACCTTTTGAGATCAGTCTGGAACAAAAAGTTCGGTCAGATCATGTTTTCAGGGAAAAAAAAAATTAAAAAAAAAAACCAGAAAAAGACCTATTAAGCCTTTCCTGGAGGCACCGACTTTGGGCAGGAGCCTGGTTGTAGGTTTGCGTTGGTGAGCTGCCTTCTCCGTAGATGTGCTCCAGAAAGTCTTCGATGTAATGGTAGTCCTTCTTAAGGACTAAGCATGGCCAACGTGTTTGGGTGTGGGATAAAGGTATAGCCAGTGCTGGTTCATCATACACAGGTGCATTATGGCAGTTAGCATGGGACCTTTTCCTCTTTCAGAAAATCTAAGACCCACAAAATCACTGAATTTTGTTGGTCCTTTCTCAAGTCCCACAAGATTTGGCTCTTGAAATTCTTCTGGATCATCTTACTTGGCTTCATAAATACTTTCCCACAAACTGGGATACAGGGTGACTTGCCCAAAGCCACTGCTTCTGCTGACTGTCCTTCCCAGAGTTTCTAAGGACCACCCAATGCTGTGATGGGATGGTCACAGTGAGCAGTACCTTCTCCACTGGTGGTACCTGCCATGCAAGCATCTCAAAGGGTTTAACTGTGAATGGAATGCCTTGCACACCAAGCTCAGCCTGTTTTCCAGGTGGGAAACACGAGGCCCAAGACAGCTGTCCCTGGTCCCTATGGACGGAGGTGGCATCTGGGGAGGGATGGTGACTTTGTTGGCCACATCCCCCAGGTGCAGGTGTTCATGCAGGTCACTTGGCTCAGGAAACTGGTTGTTTGGGGTAGGTAACTGGTTTGCTGCGACGCACTGTGCAAACCATCCCTCCTCCATGGGGAGCGTGTGGGGTAGCAGGAACTACGGTATGAAATTCCTACAGATATTTGTCCCTACAGGGGAGAAAAAAAGGAAGAGAGCAAGCAAAGTGGTTCAAATGTGACATAAATGCGGGAAGTTGTATCTTCATTGCTCTGTGTGACACCTCTTCTCTGTCTCCACTCAAGCTACACTTCTGATGAAGCAAGCCTGGCCACAGACCTCCTCGTCCTGTGCCACGGAGGGCACCTTCCACCTCCCGGTGGACACCGGGACCGAGAACAGAACTTACCAGGCTTCTTCTGCAGCATTCAGTAAATAAACCTTTTCTTCTGGGGTTTTACTTGGTTGTGTTGTGGCCCATTTGCCTCCCCTCCTGTGGGTGATTTGGGACTGGGGTTATTTGGGATCAGCCTCGTTGCCATGGATGGGATTGTTCATGTCCGTGGAGATGTCCATGTGTCCTTCTCTGGGTGCCGAGCCCTGACACAGGTGAGAGGGTGCTGCAGGTCCTGGGGGTGCTCTCTGGCACCCTGTAGCAGATCCATCACCTTCTGGTGCCAGGGCTGCCCGGTGGGAGCATTGTCCCGCTGCTGCGGTTCCCTTCTGGGATGAAATTTTGCAGAGGTCTTGGGGTTTTTTTTTCTGAAAATCAGGTAGCATGCCTACTCCTTTCTGTTTGCATGTGTTAAAACCATGAAGGAGCATGAAAAGGAGAGCAGCGACCCTCCTAACGCTCCTTCGGAGGAGGAAGAGTCAAGTGGGGAAGGGTGAAGGCCTCTCTTTTAGCTGAGCGTTTGGTCCCCAGGAGCAACCGGAGGCTGTCTGCAGGTGTAGATCTGCAGCGGGGACACTCTGTGGTTGAGCCAAACTGCACGCGTAGAAAAAACAAAGGGAGATTATTTCCTTTTCCCTTAAAAGTGAAAGAGAGGATTCCAAAATAAAGTGTGCTTTTCAAGGAACCCGGGTGAAGTTCCCACCTTTTAACTCAAACTGGCTGAGCAGAGGCAGGGGGAGGAGATGCTGCTTACGGATCGCAGTCGAACAGGCTTTTCCAGGTGTAATCTCATGCTCTAAGAGGCCGAATCGTGCCTCCAGGAGGGGTGATCAGCTCCATGACATGGCCCGCGGTGCTCCCCCTGGTTTGTGGGGTGTCCTCTGGCCCCTGCCCCGCTGCTCGCGCCCGCTCTCGCCCTGACGTTGTCTGCCAAACCCAGGGCAGGGCTAGCATGGGCCATGCTGCAAGCGTGAGGTGGGACCACTCCTAGATTCACAAGGCAGAATTAACCTACCAAAGACCCCTGGGACCTGGAGAAACTCCCAGTCGTATTTGGAGAAAAAAATAAAAGGTATCTTGAAGTGACTCTCCACAGGCCATGTTTGCAAGGCTGGGACCGCTGCGCCCATGCACACGTGGGTTGAAGTGTGCCTCACCATCTCTATGCCCCAGGCTCCCTTTTTGTGCTGAATTAAATCAGTCATAGAATCATAGAATCATAGGATCATGGAATTGTTTGGGTTGGAAGGGACCTTTAGTGGCCATCTAGCCCAACACCCCTGCAGTGAGCAGGGACATCTTCAACTGGATCAGGTTGCTCAGAGACCTGTCCGACCTGACCTTCATTCACAAGAATGAGATCATAGAATCACAGAATCATTAAGGTTGGAAAAGACCTCTGAGATCACCAAGTCCAACCATCAACCCATCACCACCATGCCTGCTAAACCATGTCCCCAAGGGCCACATCTACATGGGTTTTTGAACCCCTCAAGGGATGAGGACTCCACCACTACCCTGGGCAGCCTGGTCCAAGGCCTGACCACTCTTTCAGGAAAGAAATTTTTCCTAATGTCCAATGATAGAGGAGAGGAAGAAATATTGTTTCTTTTTTTGATGAAAAGAGTTATTAAAAATAAACCTATTAAAAGCCTTTGGGAGACTTTCTCTTTGAAAAGGGATGGCCCTACCATTCCTTGGGGCAGGGGCTGGACGCCCGACACGGTACATGGGCTTTGCATCTCACCTAATTTCCCTCTGGATCAGATTTGACAGAGTTGTAAGTGTTTGGAAAATCTCAGCTTTTATTAGTAGAAACCCAGATATTATTTGCCAGAATTCCCTTGGAGTTCAGCCCATGCTTCGATGTGATTTCTCCTCCCCGATGCATCTCTGGGCTGCTGCAGGTGAGATTCCTCCCCCGAAATCAGAGATGGCAAGAGCAGGTACCAGGCTAGGAAAGGGTCTGAGGGCAAAATTTGGCTGTGGCCACCCAGTGTGGGTGATAAAGGAGATGAACAATGCAGTCACCAGCCAGGCTCAGGCAGGTTGGCCTCATTTCCAGAGAACTGGCTTGGACACATTTAATTTGGAAATTAAATTTAATAGGTAAAGCCTTGAGGTTTGATTTGCAGAGATGCTTCGGGCTTATAGCTGTGGTTGGCTTCGCCAGGGCTCTGCTGGGAGATGCAGTCTCAAGCGCAGGCTCAGGAAAATCAGAAGCATTTCATGTTGGGCGCCCCAAATTTGTTTCTTCGGCTCAAGCTCATCTAGTCCAGGTTTTGTTCTTGGGAGAACAGCCTTCCCCAGGTGTCCCGTGGCAGGAGACAGGTTGAGCTTACTCATGAGCGTCAGCAAGGTGTCAAGTCTGGATGGAGGACAGCCAAGGAGAAGCCAGGGAGTTGAGTACTTCTGTTCCCAGGGCGAAGAGTGTCCATCAGTACGGATTGGAGCTGCATGATGAACAGGGATAAATATGAATAAATGTACAATAGCTGCCCAGTACCTCCCCACGTCTGTACCAGTAAGACAGAAAAGGTGCTGGGGGTTCCACTGTGTTGTGAACCTGCAGTGAAAGACCATGGCAAGACATGCATGAACCTAAAGGTTGGGTGGGGGCCACCCAGGTGCCTTCATCCTGGCCTTGCCTACAGTGTGGGGACATGCCTTTGCCTGTTGGCTTTTTGTCCTGTAACGATGGGTTTTCAAAGCTTGGTGTAGCCTGAGGTATTTTGTTTTGTTGCTTAAATGCTCCAGCTGAGATCAGGGGGATCACAGACACAAAGCTTTGTGCTCGGTAGTGAGCAAGGTTCTAGATTTTATGGTCATTTCTGCCCCAGAGCCTCCTGTTTGTTTTTGTCTGGCTGGTGAGGACGTGGTGGTGGTGACAATGGGCCAGGGAGGACTTCAGCAGAGGCAATGGAAGCCGGCCAGGCAGCTTCCCCTGCTGGTGTCCACACCATGGCATCATCCCCTGGGATGTCCCGATGCTCACCACTTCAAAGCTGTTCCTCCAGCCCCTGGTTGCAGGGAAGGTGGATGGACAATAAAGCCAGGAAAAAACCTGGAGGAGGATGAGCCAAGCTGGAGGGTGGTGGCAGAAGCAGGACCAGACACCTGGAACCAGACTCACGTGGGCCATGCAACCATGTAGGACCTCCCGGAGCTGGTCACTCCTGCCCACAATCCACCGCCACTTGAGCCCCAAGTTCTGCCCTGCGTCCTCCTCGGGGGATCTGCCTTCTGCTCCCAGGGGTGGGAGTGCGTTGGGTGCAGCCTTCTTAAGACACTGCTTGAATTTACTGAAAAAATGCAAGTCTGTTTTTCTAGAATCACAGAATCATGGAATCACAGAATGATTTGGGTTGAAAGGGACCTTTGAAGATCATCTAGTCCACCCCCCCGCAATGGACAGGCACATCTTCCACTAGATGGGATTGCTCAAAGACCTGCCCAAACTGAGCTTGAACACTTCCAGTCATGGGGCATCTGCTGCTTTCCTGGGCAACCTGTGCCAGTGCCTCGCCACCGTTCCGAATGTCCAATCTAAACCTTCCTTCTTTCAGTTTAAAGCCATTGCCCAGAGCCTTCTCTTCCCCAGGCTGAGCAGCCCCAGCTCTCCCAGCCTTTCCTCCCAGCAGAGGGGTTCCAGCCCTCGCATCATTGCTGGGTCCTCCTCTGGCCCCGCTCCCACAGCTCCAGCTCTGTCCTGTGCTGAGGGCTCCAGAGCTGGACGCAGGACTCCCGGGGGGTCTCAGCAGAGCGGGGCAGAGGGGCAGAATCCCCTCCCTCGCCCTGTGCCCATGCTGCTGGGGATGCAGCCCAGGGCACGGTTGGCCTGCTGGGCTGCCAGCTCACACTGCTGGATCATGGCCAGCTTTTCATCCCCCAGCACCCCCAAGTCCTTCTGGGCAGGACTTCTCTCCATCCCTTCATCCCCCAGTCTGTGTTGGTACCTGGGGTTGTCCTGACCCAGGTGCAGGACCTTGCCCTTGGCCTTGTTGAACCTCATGAGGTTCACCTGGGCCCACTTCTCAAGCTTTTCCAGGTCCCTCTGGATGGCATCCCATCCTTTCTGGCGTGTCAACTGCACCACTCAGCTTGATGTCATCTGCCAAGTGCTGAGGGTGCAATCAATCCCACCATCAACGTCACTGATGAAGATATTAAATACTATTGGTCCCATTACCAACCCCTGAGGGACATCACTCGTTACTGGTTTCCACTTGGACATTGAGCTGTTCACTGTAACTCTGGATGTGGCCATCCAGCCAATTCCTTATCCAGCTAAGGAATCGTATTTGTAGCGAACCCTTCATGTGGAAACAAGAGGAGATGTTGATACAAAATTCACCACAGAGCTTTTTCGCCCCCCACCAGCCTTTATGCTATTAAAGAAAAATTTATCTGTGCAATTCAGGGCACTTCTGCATTGCAGGATCAATTAGGTTGAGATTTCTAGAGCGGCACGAGGGATTTAATCAGCAATTTTAATAGAAGTTGGAGCTTAAAAGCTCGCGATTGCTTTTAAAATCCCAGCCTGCTGCT